CCGCGGTGTCATAATCTGGGATATTATGTATAACCCCCTTAGCAGTATCCTCTGGTGGCGCCGCGTACGCGGTGACTTCATAGGTCTTGCCTGCGATGCAGATTTTTGAAATGGAGTTATATTTCTTAGCTCGTTCCATGCTTGGTGTGCTTGTCACGATGATGTTTTTCTCCGGGTTGACCCGTAGCAGGTCTCCCTCGGCTTCCTGCTCTTTGAGACCGATGGCGCAAAATACGCCGTCGCGTAGCCTCGCGGAGCTCACCTTGGTAACATCGAGGCCCTCTCGTGGCCGCAGAATGATTTTTATGTCCTCGCGTGGGAGGGCTGGTTGCTGACGCTGTTTCCTGTGTCTCTGAAGTGGTTTTCGGTTTCCTGTCCGGCCACCTGCGTCGTTTTTGGCTGTGCTTGTCGCCGTGAGGCCTAGCTTGTTGAGGGCTCGTGTGCCCCGTTGTCGGTGGCTCACGAGCCAGCCGGCCTCTGCTGTACACTCTTCCGGTGAGATGTCCTCACCTGCCACTTCGACGTAATCCATCTTGGGTCTCGGTGCCTTGGGGAGGGCTCCGCCCCCGCCGCTGGCCTGCTGCAGGTGCCGTATTCCTCGTTAGGGTTAGTGGGGCGCCGGCCCGTCGGTAGGAGGAATTGGCTGAACAAGGCCAGGCGGTGGTCCGATTTCCATAAACGTGGTGTCCTCGGGTAGCAAATACCTTTAGGCACCCGGTGTTGTGGTTCTTGCTGGAAGGTTTGGGGTATTTTTCGCCTTTGAAGCTGATTGTTCGCAGAGCGCCGATCGAAGCTGTGCACGCTCGCGCCCTTCGCTTCTTCTTCCTTAAAGCTTGAAATGCTTTTTAACGCTAAAGCCAATCTAAAATGTTCGTCCGTCCCTCTGTCCGTCTGTGCATTTCCCGCTAAATTTAGCGGGAAAACTGACATCGTGAGACCTTTGCACGATTATAGTCTCTCAGGGAAATTTCACGGGTATATAGATGTCACGTGACCTGACGTCACGTGACATACAGACCAATTCAGTTCGCGGCTAAATTTAGCGGACAAAGCGACGTCACGTGACCTATACACTACATCGGTTTCCCACTAAATTTGGCGAAAATGTAGCGTCACATGGCTTCGGGTGACCTATGCACCTGGGGGAATTGACGGCATGTGACCTATAGGTAAAAGTTTTCCTGCTAAATTTAGCGATAAAATTAACGTCTGCTAGCCAAAACATCAACTCAGTGTCTTCAATAAATTTAGCTTGAAATCGACGTCAAGTGACTTATACCCCAGTTCGGTTACCCGCTGCATTTAGCGGGAAAGTAAATGTCTGGTGACCTAGACACCAATATACTGGGTGATTCAAGGAGACGTCAGGCTCTTTAAATCGACCGCAAAATTTGGTTTCTTAACCTATCACGCCACGATTTTGTGCAGCGTTGCCCACAGATGGTGCATTCTTTTCGTAAAATTTTGCAAAGAGCAAACTTACCCGAGAAAAAAATAAAGAAAGAAAAAGGCTTAGCTCATATGGAAAGGCAGCGAAGTCACCGGTCTTCAAACAATACAGCGCCGTTTCGCACGGGAGACAAGAGATGGCGCAAGCGGTCACGATGCCAGCTGCCGCCAACGAACGAGCATACGGCGCCGAGAGCCGGCGTCTCTAGCAGACGATCGTTTCGACTCAAAAGCGGCGCGCGTTCCGCAGGCGGTGACAGACGCAGAAACAAAAACAGGCGCGGTAACAACAAGGAACTGCAAAGCAGACGGCATCAGTACCCCGAAAAAAAAAAAAAAAAAGAAAAACAATCAAAATAGCCCGACAAACCATTTTTTAATTGATTATCTGTCTATTCAGTGTTTTATTAGTAAGGATGATAAAATAATCCACTGGCAACTGATATCAGAAATGCTCGCGCCGCTTTTGACTCGAAACAATCGTCTGCTAAAGACGCCGGCTCTCGGCGACGTATACCCGTTCGTTGGCAGCAGTTGGCATTGCGACTGAATGCGCCATCTCTTGCCTCCCGTGCCAAGCGGCGCCGTATTGTTTGAAGAGCGGTGGCTTCGCTGCGTTTCCATTTGAGCTAAGCCTTTTTCTTTCTTTACTTTTTCCTCTGGTAAGTTGCTTTTTACAAATTTTACAAAACCAAAACGACGCACCATCTGTGGGCAACGCTGCACAAAATTGTAGTGCGATAGGTTAAGAAACCGAATTTTGCGATTGATTCAAAGAGCCTGGCCGCTCCTTGAATCACCCAGTAGATTCCCCACTACATTTAACTGGGCAGATCGACGTCACGTGAGCTATGCAACCATTCAGTTTCTCCGATGAATTTAGCGGGAAAATGTACGTCACGTGACAAAGCAATTCCCTCACCAATTCCCTCTAATGCAATTCATGCATTAGAGGACTTTAAAGGTCAATGTCACTGCCAATTGTTTGTGCGTTTTGATTCGATAAAAAGGAAAACTAGGATTTATCGCTTTACCTGTAAGTATGGTGCCTGGAACGCGCCTCCGACTGGTGCGTTTACCGCGTCTAAAAAAGTGGTCCCTCGATTTTCGCCTGATGACGTCATAGAAGTGTCATGCTGTCGCCGGTCGCCACCCTGGCGGTGTTTCCGCAGCTGTGGTGGATATAGCAGACGCCTGTTCTGCTGCAGGTCGCTCTCCACTGTGACAGCCCACGGAAGCTAGAGCAGCCAGAAGTTGGGACGCCTGGAACACTTTGACGACAGCGACACTCGGGTTCGCTCGTGCTTTTCGCCAGCATTTTTACGACCAACCGCCAGGATCGCGACATGCAACAGCATGACACTCCGGCTTCTGTGACGTCATTTGTTGCCACATTAGGACCACTTTTGGATGTATGGGCGGGATAGGACGCTAAACACACCAGTCAGAGACGCGCTCCAGGCGTCATACTGTAAGTAAAGAAAGGTTTGACATATGGAGACGTCAGCGCTCCTGCATTTTGGCTTCGTCAAGCTCGATTTCTTCCTGATGACGTCATAGGAGTGCCATCCTGTTGGTGTCATGGAAGTGGTCGTGGAGGTGGCCGACGCCTGTCCTGCTGTAGGTCGCTCTTCATCCTGAAAGTCGATGGAAGCTTAATGAGCAGCCAGTAGTTGGACACCATAAGGACAGCAACAATAGCTTTTGCTCGTGCTTTTTGCCGGAACTTTTACGATGAACCGCCACGATCGGGACATCGGAGAGCAGGGCATGCTAGCTCCTACGATGTCGTTTGGTGTCCCTACTGGACCTCGTTTGATGTACAAACAAGGAATAGAACGCCAAAAGACCGGCCGGAGACTCGTTCGAGCACCGTGCCCATACCTCCCCACAGAAAAAAAGCGTTTCTGTTGTCTTGTACAAGCACAACACGGCTTCTCACGGCGCTTAAGTTGTACAAGGCGTTTCAGTCAACTTGTACAAAAGAAAGAAAAGAACAACTGGAGCTTGCTATTGCTGTCGACCCAAGGTGGTACTGTTCGCAGTCCTATTAAAGAAGTCTAGATTTTGTTTCTCAATGTGCCAACTTGGCTAATCAACACCGGTTAATTAGCTAACTTTTAAAATAATAATTGGAGCGCAAACGCTCCAATATATAATTGACAAAATATGTTGAGATACACCCTAATATGACGTTTCCATCTATGTATCCTATGTCTGTATTTTTTTTTTTACTTTAAAAAAGAGTGCGAGATGGAAAAAAAAACAAAATCCTACGGTGACGTCGCAGTTCGCTGGCGGGTAGCCATGTGGGATATATTTTTAAATCTAGGGCGCTTTTGAAAAATTAGAGAAACTTAGACAGACATAGGATAGAAAAATGAACATTCGAGAGAGGTGTCTGTGGTTTGGGAGCAACGATACTAATAAATAAATATATACACCAACCAAATCTTTGTTTAAAGGCGGAACCCTACGTTTCGAGGCCTGCTAGGTCTCTTCTTCAGGTGTTGACTGCGTCTATGGCCGTTGAAGAGTAGTATTCAATTTTCTTCTTCTACGGCTGTGTCTCGTTTTGCATCGGTGGGGTGGCGAAGTCCGTTCACGTAGACGGTCGGCGGAGATGAAAGTTGGGTGAGTTTGTAATGCATAGTTACGAAGAGGGAAACAGCGCCAAAAGTGCGGACGACCAAGAACGAGGAACGAGGTTATGCATAGTTACATTGCGCTCGGTCTGTGTGTTCCTCGTTTTTTGTCCTCGGTACTTTTGGCGCTGTTTCCCTCTTTGGTCGGCAGAGTGCCCAGGATCTATTTATGTTTTCTGGCTTCGTTTGAATGTGCCAGGATTCAATGAAAAGTCTTTCTGGGATTCGTCTCAGCGGCAAGGATGCTGGTGTTGGAAAAGTCAATCCTGTGGTCCTTGACGTCGCAGTGCTCAGCTGCGACGTATTCATGAACGCAGCGCCGTAGCTGAGCACTGCGGCATCAAGGACCACAGCATTGACTTTGCCAACACCAGCATCCTTGCCGTTGAGACTTTTCATTGAATCCAGGCACATCCAAACGGAGCCGAAAACATAAATAGATCCCTCGACACTCTACCGACCGTCTACGTGAACGTACTTCGCCACCTCACCGATGCCAAATGAGCCACAGCCGTAGAAGAAGAAAACTGAACACTGCTCCTCAACGGCCAAATCAGCAGTCAACCCCTGAAGAAGAGACCAAGCAAGTCTTGAAACACAGGGTTCCGCCTTTAAACAAGGATTTGGTTGGTGTATATAATTTTATTTATTATTAGACATACAATACATCGATGAAAACGACATAATGGGAGTTTCTCAACACGCTCTGCAACTTTTGTATTATATGATCTACGCAAAAATTTGGTTTTCAAAAGTTAGCAAAGGTTGTCATTAAAGTCTTGGGATAAGGTATCTGGAACACCATGTCCATCGACTAACTAATCCGAAACTCACTGTTCACTGAAATGTATATTTCTAATTGTTGTAGTTTGTAATAATTCTTGCTTTTCTTTTCTTTTTTAACAGTGGGAAAACCACTTGGAGTGCCCAAAATAGAAAACCCAACGGCGGAGGACGTCTCCTTCTGGCACGAAAAGTACATCACAGCGTTGACAGAGCTCTTCGAAGAACACAAGGCAAAGTGCGGTGCTAAGGACGCCTCTCTAACCGTGCTGTGAATGAAAAACGACGCTGCAGTCAATCTTTCGTCACACGTCCATGGTACACCGCGACGTCAATGTGGGACGTATTTCCTCCTGTTTTGCCAACTCTAAGCATTATGTTGAGTGAATGAGTAAGGCGAATGGACGGGCGGACTGACCCAAGTGCGGATGCTTTATTGACATCCCGTTTGGACACACGCAGCAACCAGGTCGGGCTTCAGACATATGGTCGTCCTTAGCCCATGCTGTACTTTTTGATTTTCGCGCACTTCAGAAGCTTGATTATGTTAAAAGGCGCCCGAACTCCATGGTGTTTCGTAAATCAGAAATTGGGATCCTCCGCTTTCGGAGTATGTTTCTCTTGGAATTCGTAGAGTGTTTATTGGAGTTTATTTTGGACGTATATTTAATGTTTATTGGAGTTATTATTTTTAGATTTATAACACGGGCTAATGTTTTCTGTTTTTTTGCTTTTTATTATTAATGTACTCACGTTTTTTTTTTTTAATTTATAAATAAAACTAAATGACGGCGGAGAAGAGCCTCAAGTATCCGTAAATTCAGAGTACCAACGGTTAAAAAGGTACTCACTCTTTCTCCAGACAGGGTGTCCTCTAAACAAATGTACAGTTGTTGTTTTTTATCCGGAAAAATAAAATCTGCATCGCCGAACGCTCATTCCGCGCCCAAATGTAGCGCCAGAGGTTTGAACCAGATGCCAAAGTTTCAGCACGAACCTTTATCTGGTTCAAAAGTTGCAAGCGATTTTCTGAAAATATCAATGCGAAAAATGGCGGCCGACGGACCTCTCGAATGCATGGAAATCTACGGCGCCAGAAACCAATGGGCCGCATTTTCCCCATTGACGCTTTAATAAAATCAGTTGTGACTTTTGAACAAGATATCGGTTCGTGCTGAAACTTCGGCATCTATAGTTCGGACCTCAACAGCGCTTCATTTGGGCGGAGAATAAGTGTTCGGCGATGCATAATTTATTTCTCCGGTTAGGAAAAAAAAACTGTTGCAAATTTGTTTTGCTGTCATTGTCAGCTTCAGAAATCTGTGGCGAGTGCCAAGCATCTTGTTATCGCTCCACAGCCAATGAGTTGCAGCATCAGCCGTTAAGAACACATCCAACAACTAATCAGGAGCAAGAAGAATCAACATAACGAGACACGCACGTTTCTTAAGCTGTCACTCACTATGCGGAGAGCAAGTTGTCTGCTTCTTGCGCAAGAGTTGCTGTGACGTCAGAAAGACGCCGAGCTCTAACTGGTTCTGATTGAAGGATAGTGGGTAGACCTCAAAGCAAGCTGCCTTGAGGTATACCCACTATCTTTCAATCAGGGCCAATCAGAGACCGGCGTTCTGACGTCACCACAACCCCCGCAAAAGAAGCAGACGAACTTGCGCTCCGCATATGCTCCGTGTGGGAACTATTGGCGGCATGCGCCATCTACAGGGGCCGCTCATCTGACTATCATCAACGTCGTTTGTGACGTCACGGGTAAGACAGACAGGGACAGACCGCACAGATCTTGGATCTCTCGGCTCGTCAGCTCGCCTCGTGCACTGTTTTGGGTAACGCGCGGCAAAGCCTGTTTTACGCGTTATTCATTTGGTGAAGTGACATTCGTAGCAGGACATTTTACCCAAGCTTGAAACCGTGGCACGCGTAGTCGTGTTAGCACGCACTTTTGGCGCTGAGGTGTCGAAGCGCTCAGGTGGTACATGGCGTGCTCTTTTCTCTCCCCGTTACAAAAGCTGGATAATGGAAGTATGATATCCAACGCTTTACCCCACTATAACATCTTCCACGGGAGATTCGAACGAAATTTGGGAACTTTTCAAGTCTGTAGTAAAACACTTCAGTGAAAGCGACTCCGTGTATCATGTGAGTTCCCATCTGTTCTTTGAGTGGTGGTCTTTCTTATTAGTTCCAAGTTGATTTATATTTTAATGTTGTAATCTAGTAAACGAACATATTCTCAAAATCATTGGCGGGAAGAAGCGATGGCTGGGTTCCGGAGTTGTTTCAACGAATTGTCCGCCTATTCACCCGGTCGATGAGACACGTGCGACGCCCCCTCGCGATCGGGTCTGTCAAATCTATAGTAGATGGCACCCCAGCGTCACAAAAGACGAGGTATACACCTGCTATGAATTACTACCGTTTTTGTGCTTGATTTTGTAGACTCAAAGAATAGAGCGTAATGCGTGATGCGCTTCTCAACCAGCAATATTAAATTAGAAAAACAAAAAAAAAGGTTAGTAACGATTGGATAGAACAAATAAATAAATCGCCTGAATTTGCCGAGATATAACCGACAAATTAAGAAGTTATAATCATTTCGGCTTTTCTTTCGAGCGGAGGTCGCGATGTGACGAAGATTTTTGCCAGATATATACGATGCGGAAGGAACCACGCGTCAATTACTGTCGAGAATTTGCTCGTCAGCAACTGTTCACTCAAGCTTGGATAGAAGCGTCGGTACCTGCAAGCTCAATGTAGCTAAAACATGTGTGCCGCGCTTTGCAACACAACTGTGCCCGCGTGCACAATGACAAGACGTCATTTACTTTCGGGAATGCAAAACCTTTTTTTACGGGAGTCTCCACAGATCCCAAAAATCAAGACGTAGAGGCTGTGAATAGCCCTGACGCACACAGCGCAAGCTGTAATGTGAAGCTCCAGGCTTGTTTTTGAAAATTTTAAAGTTTTTAATAATAAAAGGAACTTTGACGCGGTGTTTTCAGTAGACAGATTACTTACGAAAACATTATACACATTTTTTAAAATAAATAAACCGTTTTTAATCGACCTGGATTCGAACTAATAGAGCCACTCCGTGCTATTATATAGGGCGCCGCCAGCTCATATTCTACCCGCTTCTCAAGGAAGAGCGCCCACGAGTTGGAGCCACCAAAACATCTCGTCGCCAGTAGCGGTATTACCATAGACCGTCACACTGCTAATAGGCCATACACGATGTGATCGGCAGACACTGTATGAGGCATGATTCTTCCTTGCATGAGGATCATGCCACAGTGTTCGTACAGAAATTATCTTCTAACATGCTCGAAGCACACACATTTACGAAGGAAACACGAGTCGAACATGATTGAGGTGCGTGCTCGTAGATAATTGTGTCGTCATGTCTTCACCATGTGTACACTTAAATTTTTTGTGAGTCTCGCTAAGATATCACCTTGCTAGAAACATCAGCATGATGGACCTAGAACAGCCACCTTGGGAGCCGCCGACCAGGCACAATAATGTTTACTACAGCTCTTTCGACCTTCCTCATAGTTATGCACAGAGCAGGTAGCGTTCACAGTTTCATGTAATTGCTAAAATGGGCACAGAAGCTGTCAATTCTGGGCCACTCGAGACAGCACAGTTCAGCACGATCACAGCTTAGCAAAGCTGCTGCAACGGATCGTCAGTGGCCACCAGCATGACACCACCAGCGGCACTCGTGCGTAATATATGTCTACTTGAACGGACAATTGGGCTAGTTGGTACGTGTTCATGGTGAAAAATAGCGGCAAACACAAGGACACAGAACACAGAAAAACAGCGCCTTGTCCTGTGTGCATTTCTACGTTGTATACCTTGGGTTTCGCGCTGTTTTTCATCATGAAGTAATACATGTCAATGACGCGACATAGGTGCGAGCCATGTACCCTGGACACGAATCCAGACTGTTTCTTACGCCTAAAGTTTGGTGCTGGTGGAGCTGCCACCTGTGCTGGGCCCTCACTAGCACCTTTGCCCACAGCAGGCGAGTCCTGCATAATCCTATTAAACACCAGGTAATGCACAATAACTGGACCGCCATTTTTGGTTATGTGTAGATGTAATGCATTATTTCCCGCACCTTTGACAAAATAAAATTTCAAGTTCTCGTTTACATTTCAGGTATCGGAGTGCCTCATGCACGGGTTTAGATAAATAAACCCGCAAGCTTGAGCGCTAGGACCTTAGTTTTCGAAGAAACGTTACGGGGCAGCACACTCGTCCAAAGTCAATAAGACCAAAAACAACCGATATCTGCTTGCCACTAGTAGTCAGTTTTAGCAGTCTGTTGCCGTGTTCTACGGTGGCCACGGTATACGGCTTTAGGCGCCCACTGAAGAGCATGCTTCAAAATCGCAGCACTGGCTCCCAGTAGCAATTCCGCTGAGTACGGCAACGCTGTACGATTAAAATTCCCATTGCGATTCCCGGCACCTACCGGAACTGCAGCCGAGACAGCGTGTAACGACGGACGTGGCGCGTCCGCCCTCGAAATCACACGCCATCTCCTGCATCTTTGCGAGGAATCTTCTGAATCGGGGTGAGGACGTTGTCCTACCCTTCGAGTTCACCGACGACGCTCGGTTCATGTCCCCAGCTGACTGTTGTGTAACAACCGAGACGTGACAACCGTTACAAAAGCCCGATTATTGAAGAGCAAAAATGTCAGAAAGTGAGGCATATCTACGTACAGACACACGATATCTGTACGCGTGACATTGCGCCGTCGGTCGTTACGATTCATCGTGACCGCGATGCCGCTCATGCAGTTTTTTTTTATTTTATTTTATTTATACATACTGCAGCCCCACTGGGGCTATGGCAGGAGTGGGAGGTAAACACAGACGGTCCGGACATCACTGTGGACCACTGTCAACGGCACACAGAAATTCATCTGGTTGTAGTGATCGGATGTTTCCTGGTAATAAATTCCAGCGTTCAATGGTGTGAGGAAAAAAACTGTATTTAAACATATCAGTACGAGGATGAAAAGGTAAAATGTTTAATTCATGGTGGCTCCTAGTTGCAGTTGGCTCGAGAAACTTTATGTAGTTATGTAACGAGTCAAAACGTGATGAGTTAACCATGAAATACAGAGACTTTAGGCGCTCGATACCACGACGCTCAGAAAGAAGTCTTAGACCTAACACGGAAAGATTAGAAGAAGGAGAAAAGTTTCTGTCATACCGACGACAAATAAAACGTACCGATTTCTTTTGTACTGATTCGACTTTTTTTATATCGGACTCTTTGTAGGGAAACCAAATAATAGAACCATATTCGAGGATTGGGCGAATCAAAGTTTTATAAGTTAAAAGCTTAGTATCTTGTGGTGCCACACGTAAGGTACGCCGCAGGTATCCAAGTCTTTTAAGAGATTTGTTACATGTCGTATCAATGTGCTTAGACCAAGATAAATCAGGCGTGAAAAGGAGGCCAAGATATTTATATTCAAAAACTCTTTCTAGGCATAACCCGTCAAATGAATAATTAAACACAGAAGGTGATGAACGCCTAGAAAAGGTCATAAAAACCGTTTTACTAAAATTCAGGTTCATTTGCCAGGTTTTACACCACGTACAAAAATTCACGAAAGAATTGTTAAGAGTTATATGGTCATCTGAGGAGTTTATCACATGATATAGTACGCAGTCGTCAGCGTAAAGTCGGACCTTAGTGGAAATACAGCGTGGCAAATCATTGATATATAACAAGAAAAGTAGCGGTCCAAGAACT